TGGGAGGAGGATTGGGTGGAGGGGCGGGAGGAGGCTGGGAAGGGATGGGAAGGGTAAACAAAGGAGGAGGCTACAATGCTTAATAAGAAATGTACTCATTACCTTGCCCATGTAATTGTAATCCCTCTGTACAGTATTTTCACAATTAAAGAAAAAAAAAAAAGAAGTGGCATTCAATCAGCTCCCCACTGCAGTAGCAAGCTGAGGACATTTACCAGGCATTTGTTACGTTAAAATATGTTCCAAATAGAATTCAGTAAGCCCACCCCCTATTTGTTATTTATAATACATTTTGACCATGTTTTGTCAAAACAAAAATGTTAAAGGAAAATTCAAAACTACAAATTTGAAATCCCCCACTCCCACATTATTACCTGGTTCAGTGGAATCATAGAGGCCCTCTGTCAGTCCTGCTTTGTTGTTAGTTGTGCTTAAATTGTTGGGTGGGTGGGGAGCCAGTGGTTTACTTCTGTAATATTAGCCACTATGGAGGCTGAGATCTTAGTATGTCACTTTCAGGCCAGCCCAGATGGGAAGGTCCATGAGACACTTATTTCCAATTAACCACAAGAAAGCTGGAGCTATGGCTCAAATAGTAGAGTGATAGCCTTGGGCAAGACAAAGCTTAGGGGACAAAGCCACACACACAGACACAGACACAGACACAGACACAGACACAGACACAGACACACACACACACACACACACACACACACACACACACACACACACATTGTTGTATGATCTGCCTAGTGAGTGTTTTTCCCTGCCCTTAGTTTGGTTGAGAATATGCCCCTTAAAAAACAAATAGTGTGCCAGAAGTAAAGTAAAAGTGAATGTGCTTAGCTGAAGAAACGAAGTAAAATTTGAGTTTTGTTGAAAGGGGGCATTATTTTAACAAAATTTGGCTGCATTATGGGAAAATGAATCTAGCACCTGTAATATAGCACTAAACTCTATGCATCTGAGCATGGATAGTTTTCCATCAATGGTAGTCTCCTTGGAATCACCATTTCCATTATACTTATAGCTACCGTGGGTCGATTTTTAAAATTTTTTTTATTGTGAAAATACCGAACAATTACATGAGCAAGGTAATGAGTACATTTCTTATCAAGCACTGTTGTCTCCTCCTTTGCTTTTCCCCTACCATCCCTGCCCTTCCATCTCCAGGACTACACTTCCCCCCCACCCCTGGCTAAGTTGTAAAGTTCATTTTTTGACATAGGTCTTGTACATTTCATTATTGCAATGGATCCACCTGTATCCCTATTTAAACTATTTTTTCCCTTCCCCTCCCCAAATTATACCAACATCAAATACAGTGAAAACAGGGGTTATATCGTGGGGGAGCAACAAAAAAAATCACCTATTAAGGGTCTATTGTGTTAACTAAAAATATAGGCACAGCATTTTTTAAAAATTTTTTTAAAAAAATTTATTTTTTTATTATTGTGAAATACCATACAGAGGGGTTACAATTACATGGGCAAGATAGTGAGTACATTTCTTATCAAGCATTGTTGCCTCCTCCTTTGTTTCCCCATACCATTCCTTCCCCTCTCCACCCCTCCCCACCCCCCTACCACCCCCCACACCACCCCCCACCCTGCCAAAATTGTAAAATTCGTTTTTTGACATAACATCTTGTACATCTCATTGTTGTAATGTGTCCACCTGTAACCTTATTTAAACGATTTGTTTTTTCCCTTCCTCTCCACAAATTATATCAACATCAAATACAGTGAAAGCAGGGTTTATACCCTGGGGGAGGTACATACAAAGCAACAAAGAAATTATCGTATAAATATGTTGGATACAATTGCAAGAAAGAAAACAAAAACATCTAAATCCTTATCTTGGGGTTCATTTTGCCTAACATCAACCTGTCTGACAGTTTCTGTTTGTCTCAGACATATACTAGTTATTACAAATAAGGGAAACCATGTGACCTATGTTTCTTGGGACCTGGCTTACTTCACTTAATATAATTTTTTCCAAGTCTTTCTATTTCCTAACAAATAGGGCAATGTAATTCTTTTTGATGGAGGCATAGAATTCCATATACCACATTTTCTTGATCATTCATCTACTGAAGGGTATTTAGGTTGGTTCCATATCTTAGCTATGGTAAATAATACTGTAATAAACATAGTTGTGCTGGTAGCTTTAGTGTGGTCTTGTTTGTGATCATTCAGGTAAATGCCCAAAAGTGGGATTGCTGGGTCATAGGGGAGCTATCTATGTGGAGTCTTTTGAGGAACCTCCATACTACTTTCTAAAGTGGTTGAACAAGTTTACACTCCCACCAATAATGTAGTAAGGTTCCCTTCTGTCCACATCCCCTCCAGCATCTGCCATTATTAGAGTTCTTGATTATAGCCATTCTAACTGGGGTGAGGTGGTATCTCAATGTTGTTTTGATTTGCATTTCTTGTATGGCTAGGGAAGCTGAGCATTTCTTCATGTGTCTATTGGCCATCTTTCTTTCCTCTTCAGAGAAGTTTCTCTGTAAGTCTTTAGCCCACTTATTTATTGGGCAGTTGTTTCTTTGAGGATTTGTTGTTGGGGGATTTAATTTTTTGAGTTCCAGGTATATTTTAGATATGAGACCCTTGTCCGTTGTATGGCTAGTGAAGATCTTCTCCTAATATGTGGGCTTTCTATTGATCTTGCTAGCTATATCCTTTGCCATGCAGAAGCTATGCAATTTCATGCAATCCCATTTGTCCAACCTTTCTTTGATTCGTTGTTTCTGGGTCTCTATTAAGAAAATTTCGGCCTGTAGACACAGCATTTCTTTAGGCCAGCAATAGTCTTGATTACATGTCTTGATTTTATGTGGTTTCAATGTGTCTTTCCTGCAATAGATCCACTTTTTGTAAATATCACTGGAAAATGAAGCAAGGAGTCTGTTGGACGTCATGCCTTTGGTCTGTCCAGGAAGACTACCATCTTGCCCTTCTTATAAATCCATAATTTCTTATAAATCCATAAGTTTCCCCTTTCTTTTAAAATTATTATCCTTAAGTAGTTGTAAAAAGGAGTTGTCAATAACTAGTATGTGTCTGAGACAAGCAGAAAAGGTCAGATAAGATGATACTTCTAACATATTTATCAGGCAACACATGATTTTTTTTTTTGTTGTTGCTTTGTACGTCCCTCCCCCATGGTATAACCCCTGTTTTCACTGTATTTGATATTGGTATAATTTGGGGAGGGGAAGGGAAAAAACAAATTATTTAAATAGGGATACAGGTTGACCCATTGCAACAATGAGATGTGCAAGAGGCTATATCAAAAACAAACTTTACAATTTAGGCAGGGGTGGGGGGGAGGGTGGTTGCAGAGATGGGAGGGAAGGGATGGTAGGAGAAAAACAAAGGAGGAGACAACAATGCTTGATAAGAAATGTACTCATTACCTTGCTCATGTAACCCCTCCTTTGTATAGTATTTTCACAATAAAAAACTTAATTTTTTTTAAAAAAAGGAGTTGCCATTTAACAGTTCTTAGAAACGACTCTTAGGTTGCTTCCCACAGTGGTTTAAAATTTTAAACGTTTAGCCATTTTCTTTCTAGCCTGGAACTTTTTGTCTTTTGCCTTTTCCTGTCATAACTTGGAAAAAAAAAGTCAAGATGAACACCAAGATTTGAAGAGAAAGCTGAATGTATGTGGTTATTGCTGTGGTCTGCACCAAGTTCAGAGGTAAAAGTTCTATTTAGAGTGCCTGCATCAGTATATGCAATGACAGGCCGGGCTGCAGATCCAGAGCTCCTGCGTGCACCATACTGGGGGCCTCAGCCAATGGGGATGGCTCTGAACCCCAATGGGGATGGCTCCGAACCCCAATGGAGTTGTATTTCTCTGAAAGTGAAAAGTGGGGGCCACAGAAGAGGCTGATATAGAGGAGAATGTGAAGGTGCTGTGAAGCACTCTGTGCTAATTGACCTAGTGGCAGAAGGCAGTGCTCCCAAGAGGACCAGAAATCCCCTATAGCAGGATCTCCAGGCTTGCACACACTACAGGGTGGAGAACCAAGGGGAGGGTGCTAAGGCACGGACTAGGATGAGACAGCCTGAAACAGGCTTGTAAGATGAATGTGTGTATACATATAGACCAAGCATGCTTATTCATTCCTGGCAGACAATAAGGTTGATGGATTGTTTTACACCATACCCAGGCTGACGCCTCCTCCAGAAGAGATGGGCAGGATTTAAGTCAAGGTGGGGTATGTGGCTTCAGATGCATGGGCCAACTACCGTGGACTCGAAGGTTGTTTGTACCCACTCATTCCTTTGTACACACTCTCCAGGGAGGCTCCAACTTGTACTTTTCTGGGGGTTTATGGAAAAGCCAGAAATGGTTGTTTCCAGGGTGGTGGTTTTCTTGAATAATAATAAAAAAAAAGATGTAGGCTGATGAAATGGCTCAGGGTAAAGAGAATGAAAAAGAGAGAATGTAGGTAAGCATTGCCTTCCTATTAACCTTACCCTAGGGTCTGATCAAGTGTCCTACAGACAAATTTCCAGCAGCCAGTCTCAGGAAGAGAAGGGGTAGGCTCACATAGGAGCTAAGGTGTGGAATAGGAATGGCTGTTTAGAAGATGTAAGAGGAGCAAGAGGAGGCTTTTCCACATAGCACAGGAACAGCCTGTACGAACTAGGGGGTTCTCAAGAAACCATAACTTTTAATCATTGCACCAATATGGGTCAGGCTAGATTTATTTCAAGTCCTGTGTTATTCTATGGCTGTCTGTTTCTACATGTGTAATGATAGGAAGAAAAGCATTAAATAATCACAAGGGACAGATTTACAGCCCTGCTTTTCTCTTTTGTTTAGGATCTTTATTTTTAAATCAGAAAGAGCAAGTGTGTGAGAACAGGGACGTGCTTTGAAGCCTGACAGCAGTTTGTTGCGCTTCACTCATTTATAAAAAGCCCAAGACATTTGGCTGGTGATCATGGTGTACCGGTGCTTGAAGGACACAGTGACTTACCTGCTGCTGCCTCTTTGTTTGGAAATAACTTGTTGTCAACTGCCATGCTGATGTCATAGAACACTTCATCCTCATTTCGGTCAGCGTCAAACTGGGGGAAATCAGGACAGACAAGTGTGGAACATGAGAAGAAATTAGCTAATTCTAAAATGTAACCATCTGTAATAAGTTAAAGCACTAGAGTCACAAACGAGGCATTTGAAGGTCTTTAAGCCTAGATTACACATTATGTAGGGAAGAATAAGGAATTTACTTATGATTAAGAAAAGTGTGGAACACACTTTTTTTCTCCTTTTTTTTGACAGTCCTGGGGCTTGAACTCAGGGCTTGGGCACTGTCCCTAAGCTTCTTTTTGCTAAAGACTAGTACTCTACCACTTGAGCTACGGCACTACTTCCAGCCTTTTCTGATTATGTGGTACTGAGGAATCAAACCCCGGGCTTCGTGCATGCTAGGCAAGCACTTTACCACTAAGCCACATTCCCAGCCCTGAACATTTTCTCATAAAGCAGGTTCTGAAGAAATTATGGAATTCACCCATTATTTTGGCTCAGTTTTTCTCATAACAAATGAAAATATAGTTACAAACAACATAGGGAGAATTTTTCTATTTTATTGTTAAAAAAGAAGAAAGATTAAAACAATTTCCAAACCATATTTAAGATCCTGTATTAGATACTACAGATACTATATTGAAGATGTAGTTACACAGATTCAGATGTAATGAAGATTATAGAACGAAATATATAGAAGTTAAAATTTATAAAATTTTGCAAAATTACAAAATGACATTATTAAATAAATAAATTGTGTGTTTACCAAATGGCTCAATAATTGAACATACATTCATGTCTGTTTTCAGTTTTAAAAAATAGCTTTCCTGAGTCATAGTCGATAAAGCAAACTGCAAGTATTTACAGAAAGTTTCGTCGTACATATATACACCTGGAAAACCATCTCTCTCTCTAGGTTGGTTATCAAGCACTGGCAACATGACCTTCTTGGGTGCTGGATATTTTGTATTCCTATCAACAGCTTTTGGACGGGTGAAGCTGGGGTTGAGGGGATTGCAGCAGCCTTCACACAGTCTGCTCTGCTTGGATTCTTGCAGACATTGTTAAAGCCACTTCACTCCCACGATCAGAGGATGCAATCCGATTTTTTTATTTTCTATCATTTGTGATGGGCATGAGACTCTTGTTCCTACTCTTTTAACTCATGTTATGTCCTGGGAACCCTGGGGAATATTCTAATTTAATATCACAACAGCAGCTATTGAATTGGCAGTTTTTTTTTAAACACAAACTGATGACATTCAGTATTAGAGAGGTTGTAGGCTTAGTAGAGGGAGAACTGGTTTTTAAATCATCAAATATTTTGTTGATTGTTTTGCACAAACCATATTATTCATCAGTAGTTATCCACTAGGAGTATTTCCTAGGAAACGTGTCTGATGGGAGACAGTTTTGGTAGCCACAGAGCAGAGGGTGGAAAAGTCACTAAATAACCTACATACAGTACACTGGGCAGTCTACTCACAACAAAGCATTATCCGACCTAAAAAGTCAACAGTGTCAAAGCTGGGAAGCCCCAGTTACACCATGCATTCTTAGCTCTAGGATTTCCAAACAGCATTTTGAAGCTAAAGTAGCATTTTTTCTTTTTAGAAAAAGATTTTAAGGTATAAGAATATCAGCTACTAATTTTAAACTACAAAGGGTAAGCCAGTGGCAAGTAGCTGTAATCTTGGTTACTTGGTAAGTGATGATGGAAGGATCAGTAGTTTGAGGCAAATTCCTGAAACTAACTAACTAATTAACTAAAATCCTAGCAGAAGAGATACTGCAGAATAGGTAAAAAGAGATAAGAGTTCCTACGAATAAAAATTTATTGCCTGGGAATGTGGCTTAATGGTAGAGTGCTTGTCTAGCATGCATGAAGCCCTGGGTTCAATTCCTCAGTACCACATAAGCAGAAAAAGCTGAAAGTGGCGCTGTGACTCAAGTGGTAGAACGCTAGCCTTGAGCAAAAGAAGCTCAAGGACAGTGCTCAGGTCCTGAGTTCAAGCCCAGGACTGGCCAAAAAAAATTATTTATGCTGGGTGTAGTAGCCTGGCCTGTAATCCTATTAGGGAGGTAGAAATTGAGACGAGGCCATCCTTAGTTTGAGACCCTCTTTCAAGTAACAAAATGGTGTATGTGATGACACATGGCTATGTTTGCAGCCTCTCAGGAACTATAATAGTAGAACTTCTATCTAGGGAGGCCCAGCCTAAAATAGAGATCCTACTAGAAAAAATAAGAGCGCAAGGGGCATGGCTCAAGTGGTAGACTGCTTGCCTAGAAAGAACAATGTCCTGACATCAAACCCAGTACTTCCAAAACATTTATTTACATCATTAGGGTCAGAAAAAGTTTCAGGGAGATAGAATTATGTGGCAATAGATCAGAAGATGTCTATAGTTGTTCCTAGCTCTGAAATTCTGAAGAAAAGATGGGTATTTTGTTTTTTAGGTGAGTGTAATTTGATGTCTGTCCTAAGAAAACCTTTTTTCTTATTTTGAGGGGAAAACTCATGAAGGACACGGTCAATACAATCTGTTTTATGTCATTTAATATAAGAGAGCTGCTGAGGTCAACTGGAAATTTCAAAATGAAATGTTTATTGATTTCCTTAGTTCACTCACAGCAATTTTAATCTGAATAACAAATGATGTTACAGCTTTCAAAAGCATACATAATATATCAAGATTAGGAGAGGAAATTATAGCCAAGGGAGAAAGTAGAATTTTGGGACATCTGAGGACGAAGAGACAATGAAGATTTGTACTTTTTTAAGTGGCAGAAACTAGTGTTGGTTTTCTTTTCTTTCGACTGTGGTTTTCAGAACTCAAGAAACTTCTCAAGTCTTCACCACAGAAACAAGGCTTCGACATATATTGTTTCTGGGGACCAGCAATGTTGGCCCACCAATTACCCAAATGGACTGCAAACTGGATCTCATCTTCAAGATTTCACCTTTGATTAAGCTTAGGTTTGTCGCTCACATTTTCTCGTTTTCATCAATTGAGGAAAAGGAAAGAAACGGGCTGTTATTAGTATCATTCCAGGTTTATATTTCCTATAAGTACTCTCTTAGCATCAAATAATCTTCTTGAAATTTTTACTTCTACCTTGTTTTATGTAGGAGATTTCAATTAAGCATACTTGCTTAATTTCCCTCCTTTCCTACTGAAGACCCCCTCAATATACAAATAACTGGCCTTCAAATGTTTTCTTTTATGTATTTAGTGGCATCTTTTTTTTTTAAAAGACAATCTGGCTAGTATTCTCTTTACAGTGATTTTTTTTCTCCAATGCAAATGTGAGATAACAGTAAAGTAGTAATATTTTAAAGACTCACAGTACCTGGAATGAATTCAATAATGGAGTAATGATTGCTTATACTGCTTTATAGTGCTTTATGTTTCTATAGCCTCATAAAAAAACTTGAAAGAGAGCCATGTGAAGCTCAAATGTATAATATTAGCTTTTGGGGCAGAGATCAAGAGATTATGGTTGAGGTCCATCTGGCCCTAAAACTTCATTGAGGCTGCATTTCAATCAGTGGCTAAGCAATCCAGTGAGCGCCTGTCATCCCAAGCTATATAGGAAGCACAAAAAATGGCTGGCTCAATGATGCACCAGGTATGATCCCAGTGGTAAAGGAAAGGGGGGAATGAATAAGAGGACCACAGTGCAGGGTAGCATAGGCATAAAGTAAAACCCTGTCTTGAGAATAACCAGCCAACAAAAGGGCTAGCATAGTGGCCCAAGTAGTAAAGTATCTACTCCTCAAGTGTGAAGACTTGAGTTGAAACTGTAGTACTGCCAAGAGTGGGCGAAGGAAGAAAATTTGAAAAAAGAACATTTAAGTGGGATAGTGGTGGGCTAGAGTTAGGGATAATTCTGTGAGAGGAACCAAAGCAACCTGTGTTTTGGTGAGAATTCCTGTGGTGCTGTCCTGCGGAACCATGCTCTGGGGAACGTATCATTTCTTAGCAGAATGAGATAAGGGAAGACATGAAAGAATACACATCTAAAATTAGAAGCAACTATGTGCAAGAGATGAACACAGACACATCAAAGCTGTGGATATCAGGCAAAAAACTTATTTTCTTTCCAGCCTTTTTATGTTCAGTCTTTCATTTGGTATTCAGACTATAGACAACATTGTTGAGGGCTGGGAATGTGGCTTAGTGGAAGAGTGCTTGCCTAGCATGCATGCAACCCTAGGTTTGATTCCTCAGTACCACATAAACAGAAAAATCAGAAGTGGCACTGTGGCTCAAGAGGTAGCATGCTAGCCTTGAGCACATAAAGCTCAGGGAAAGTGCCCAGGCCCTGAGTTCAAGCCCCAGGACTAGCAAAAACAAGAACAAAAACAAACAAACAAAATACATTGTTGGGAAAAGTCAACAACAATAAAGATATCCAAAGAAAACTGTTAAGGTTTTCTGAAATGTTTTAAGAAAATTGCTTTCCCCAAGTTTGAAGCTTTAAAAGAATGTAATGATGACTTTAATTTATTTTGGTGCAGAGAGAAATGAGGGCTAACTCACAATAATTTTCATTACTCATACAACATTAGCTCAGCACTCAACATCAGCACTCAACAGGACTCTAAAGAAAGTACCCGGTAGCATTAACCTGCATCCAGCCCCTGTTAATACAAGTTTATATAAGACATTCTAATCACTCAGTCTCTACAATTACACTATAAGAAAGGTTATTTGTTATCTTAATTTTAGAGGTGCAAAACAGCCTCTTGGCTAGGATGTAGTTCAGTGCTAGAACATTCACTTAGTGTGTGCAAGGCTCTGGATCAATCCCCAGAAAAAACGTGCATGCGTGTACACACACACACACACACACACACACACACACACACACACACCACACTAAATCAGAACTAAAAGTAAGCTTCCAAGACATGAAATAATTTGTTCACAGTCATGTAAGTGAGTGGATATGAGTCCATATTGCTCTTCAAGGCTAGCAATGTGAGTTACCAGCCCCACTGGGGCAACCTTAGATTTAGCTAGGCATTCAA